TTGCCTCTGATCTCAACCCCAGCTCCCACCCAGGCTCCCTAGCGCGTTCCTGGTCTGCCCCCTACGCTGGCCACCTCTGGTCCCACTCTGCCTCCTACACGGGAGCCCTGCTCTGGGCTGCGATCTTGAGTCCTCAGATGCCCCAACCCTCATCCTTCATGGCAGATAGCTGGAGTTTCCAACTCTGTCCTGAGGACCCGAAGTGCGCTCCCTGGATGAGTCTGGGCTGTGCCCCTGCGGAGCTTCAGTTTCTCCAGCTTGAAGCAGTGACTCTAAAGGTTTATGAGCGCGAATAAAGGGTCTCCACTCGTGACTGGAATCCCCCAGGTCGGTGGAGGGCGTGTGGCTGATGGGCCGAGTGAAGGGCGTTAGGTCTGTCTAGCCGTGTAGCCACTTCTATCCTGGATATAATCTCATGCTTGGGGTGTCCAGCGTGCTCCCCAGCCACATGGGATTAAGCCCACCCTTGGTTGCCTGTAAATGTCATCTCCCTGTTCCGAGTCCCTTGATTGGCCCCATCATCTCAATCCCTGGAAACCCTGGCTGAGCCCCAGGGCAGGAGTAGCCTTTGATAGCCAGCCAGTGCTGGGATGGCCCCTGAGTGCAGGGTGTGCGCTGGGGAGCCCGCCAAGGCAGGCACTGACTGACTGTTGGACACTGTCCATCCTGGGATGTAAGTTGTGGTCATTCCTGTACTGGTACTCAGCTGTTCTTAGAATGCACAGTCCTTGTAGCCTCTATCTAAGAAGTCAGGAAGTTTTTATTTCATAGAGAATGAGAGAGAGAACGCAAGTGAGCGAGAGAGAGAGAGAGAGAGAGAGAGAGAGAGAGAGAGAGAGAGAGAGAGACCTTCCTGCCTAGTCCAAACTGCAATTCTGGTTACCCAGTATCACCTAGGTCTGGCACCTTCTGGATAAGGGCTGCCTTTGGTCAGTGGGTGTGTCTATTAACTCGGAAGGAGGAATGTGACTTCAGCCCCAGCCTAGAGGACTGCTGGCCTCAGCCTGACCACCATCCCTCATCTACCTGAGCCACCCTGAGAGGCTGTGTGGAGGAGCTGTGCCATCTTTCCAGGACCTTCTGCAGTAGCCCGGATAGAGGTGGAGAGCCACCCTATCCCCCACCCCTCCCCATTGGCCTCTTCTTGAGGCTTTCTTCCCTGAGTGGGTTGGCTGGACCCAAGGACAGGCACCATGGGCACTGCTGGGGGCCCATTGGAACTGTACCTCAAGGTCAGGCCAGGCCACAAGCGGCCACAGCAGGGTGAAATGGGCAAAGTGGATAGTGGATAGCAGGGTGAAGGGTCAGAGATCTGGAATTTTGTGGCTGTGGATGCTGGGGCACGGGGTGGGGGAGGGTTTCCCTTGGATCTCGGTTTGGGCTCTCCGGCCAGAGCAGAGAAGTCAGTCTCAGCTTCAGGAACAACAGCTGTCCTGATTGCTGACATCCTCAGCCCCTTCCCATTTCCTTTTTTCCTTATTTTTTGAGTTGCTGTACCATGTAGCCTAGAAATCTTGATTCTCCTGGCTTGGGAAGTAATAGGATTACAGGATTGTGCCACAATATTTGATCTCTCTCTCTCCCTCCCCCCTCCCTCCCTCCCTCCTTCCCTCTCTCCCTTCCTCCCTCTCTCTCTCTCTGTCTCTCTCTCTTTCCTCCCTCTCTCTCCCCCTCCCCCTCCCTCCCCCTCTTTCTCTCCCTCTCTCTTCCTTTCTTCCTTCCTCCCCTCTCTCTCCCTTCCTCTCTCCTCTCTGTCTCTCTCTCCCTTCCCCCTCTCTCTCCCTTCCTCCCTCTCTCTCTCTGCTCCACTGTCACTCTCTGCATCACCAGACACCCAACCCCATCTTGTGCTTTCTTTCTGCACCCAAGAGTTAAGAGGAAGACTAAAGTGGCCTCAGAAATTTTCTTCTCTGGCCATGCTGGGCACACAGGGCCTTACATGACTTTAGGGATTTATTTCTAGAAGCCATAGCCACGGACAGCACACATCTGGGGTGTGAGTCTGTCCTTGCAGCCACAAGTGCACAGTGCTTCCCCACATCTCAACACCAGATGCCTACAGACACGCAAGCATGCGCTAGCCAGGCACACCCCGTGCCAACAGGACACCCGGGCAGAGGCCCACACACCTGCCCACACTGACAGTGTGCCCCCATGCTGACATGTCAGGGCCATAGCCTGATGAGAGCTCCCTACTGACTCATCGGGGAGCAGAGATTCTGTGTTTGCAACAAGGCAGGAGCAGACCTCGGCACTGCCAGCTTATACTTCACTGGGAACAAAGCAAGCAGGCGTGGGCGTTTCCAAAAGAGAAGTCTTCCCTCCGGGTGGCATGGTTGGCACCGTGTACAAGGCCCACACAAACAGCAGGGGCATCAGACGACCCCTTGAAGGTCCAGAGGGGATGCTTGACCCTGGGACCCCAAGCAGCCCCTAGGACTAGGTTTCATTTCCTCCGTCATATCTGTTCCTGGAATGTTTTTAATCTGAAACTGTTCCTTTTCTCTTCCTCCTGGGTGCCCTGAGATGCCTTCTGATGCTGTTATGGAATGAAGTAAGTGACAGCCCTTCCACACACCCACCGAGCTACCCACCTGCCCCTTAGCTACACGCCCACTTTGAACAGGTCCTGACAGAGACAAGACCAGTGCAGTTACCTTGGCTCTAAAGAGAATGCAGTCGTTGGTTCTGACCCCAGGCCCACACCCTCGGTATGAGCTCTGCCTCCACACCCCTCAGGGCAGTCCTGTGCATTTACCCTTTCTCCCGTGTGTCTGCATGAATGCCCTGGAAGTCCCTAAGTGATAGTCTGCAGGAGGTAGACACTGGAGAGGGCTCATCCCTGACCCAGGAAGAGGGCAGGCTAGAGCAAGGACTAAACATTGGCTTTGAAAAGGAGCAGTGTGCAGGTTGGTTAACCAGGGGCTTGGCTCAGGCCAGGATTTTAGCCTCCTTGTATGGATATTGAACAACACATCAGAGCAGCTCAGAACTGCAGAATCCGTGTTTGTGAAATTTGCCTACTCACTGAAATGTATCTACAGCTCCAAGATCAATACTGGAAGTACATTTGCAGCCCTTCACAGACATGCACACATCGAGAAAGTTGGAGTCACCAGTGGACAGGTGGAAATTTTCTCCATCTATGTAAGGCATGATCTTTCACTTTTGTGTTTCATATTGGTGATCTCACCATTAAAGTGGCCTCTAGGTATAAGCTCAAAAAACAAACAAACAAAAAAACAAAAAAACGCCACACCGTGTCCTATGCAGAAAGCTCGAGCAGTCTATGCCTGAGTTCTAGTGCTGCAGTCCCCAGTCAGTGTTGAGCAACAGCAGGTTGAGCAGGGAGCCTTGAAGATGTGACCCAGAGGCTCACAGACACCTGCCTTGTGTTTCCTCAGAAGCATGGCTCAGTCTTTGTTAGCCACACCTGGTTGATGGCCCATAGCTGAGACACGTCAGTCTTTGTTATGTTGGCCGCTTTATGGGACATACCAACTGATGAAACAATATACATATTCAGCTGACATGCAATCATGGTTTACAGCATGGTGAATTTTCATTTTTATGTACCCATGGAGCTACCCGCCATGGAACACTCTAGACTCCTGGAAGTTTCAATGTCCTCTGCCCCCAAATTTGTGCCTCCAGAGATGAGGTCATTTCTCTTCTTGCCTCTTCATTTTCAGGTTTGTTTGTTTGTTTTTTCCTGCAGGGGAGGGCTAGAATTTTATAGCATGTCCACCCTTGTATTTAATTGACCCTTTCTACAGAAACCGAGGTTCACTGTGTGTTCTCCTGTATCCGTCACTCATTCTTTCTTCACTATCTCTTTCTGTCTCTATAAAGGAACTTTTTTGTTTGTTTGTTTGTTTGTTTGTTTTTTGAGACAGGGTTTCTCTGTGTAGCTTTGGAGCCTATCCTGACACTTGCTCTGTAGACCAGGCTGGCCTCGAACTCACAGAGATCTGCCTGCCTCTGCCTCCTGAATGTTGGGATTAAAGGCGTGTGCCACCAACGCCCGGCCTCTACAAAGGAACTTTACATATGAACACTGCATCTATAATCACTCCTGCCTCTCCCTCCCCTACCAACTCCCCTCATGTTCCCCCCAAAGTCCACAATCCCTTCTTTCTTTATTATTGTTACACACACACACACACACACACACACACACACACACACACTCACATGTATATATATAACCTACTGAGTCCATTTACAATATATCTAGTTTTAGTTTGCTTCCGTGTATGAACACTTTTGCAGCATGCATGTCTGAGCATCATGGGAATGAGTGCTTACACAGGCCAGAAGGTGGCGTCAAATCCCCTGCAGGAGTCACAGATGGTTGTGAGCTGCCATGTGGGTGCTGAGAATTGAACCACGGAACCCTGGAACAGCAACCAGTGTTCTTAACTGCCCAGCCATCGCTCTAGCTTTGCTGGTATGTACATGTGTCTAGGGCTGACCACTCAGATTGGACAACCTGTGTGGGAGCTCATCCCTGGAGGAAGCAGACTCTCCCTCTCTCCCATTGGTCATCCATAGTTCTTTATTTAGGGGTAGGACCTTGTGGACTTACTCCTAATACCAGTTGACATGACTGGTATTATCATTATGCTGGTCTTGTTGAGGTGACCATATTGTTGAGAGTTCACAAATACCTTTTCCCTGTTGTGTTTAGTAGAAGTCCTAGGCTCATTATTTTCCATTGCCTTGAAATATACCATCATTACCCGCTGGTGGCCAATGGGGTTGGTGCAGCCAGTCATTAAGATCTACAGTTTACCCATCGGGACATGCTTCCTGGCAGAGGTTAACCTCTGCTCTTAGGTGGACACTCAGCATGACATTGCAAGCACAGGTACTCATTCTTGCCCTTGGCTTCTTATTCTAATGGTGACACGTCATAACCTCACAGCTGGGTTCTGAGCTGGACAGCTGTGCATGGATAACTAACTGCTTGGAGGCCTTCCCCATCCCAGGCCCCTGGCCAGCCATGGTAATACCTGGGAACATGCCCAGAACAAAATCTGGGCCTTTTTGCTGACCTTCAATGAGCCCAAGCCATAACTCTATCCCAAGCCACACTGACACCCGCATACACCTCTTGTCCTGTCTGAGGCCTCTGGTTGCCCCCCCCCCCCATGGAGCATAGTCCAAAGACAAGCTTAGTGCAGTGTTGGTGGGAGGCCCTCAATTTTAACTTTTTGATGCGGTTGGGTGCTTGGGTCCCACCCTTGCCTAAACCCTGGCTTCTGAAGGAAAGGAGTGTTATTCTTAGTAGTCTTGAACCTTTAGACTTTTAGAGGGCAGGGCCAGGCAGCAGAGAAGACAGCTGGAACCAAGAAATGCCAGAGCTAAGGCCGGGACTACATCTGTGTCCTTCAAGTGATATGAACGGAGCCTGCATGTCCTCTCTGCTGACTTTGGCCATGGGCTAGCCTAGGGTCGGGCTCCTAGGTCTTGGGAAGCATTTGGGGTGGGGGGTGATAGTACTGGCGAATGTCATACAAAAGCCAAGGGACACCTCTGGGGGCTGACTCCCAACAACCTTTCTAGTCTCAGCTCTTCCTGAAGCACCCCCCCACTCCCAACTTGGTCTCCACACACCACGTCTCCGTGGCTCTCAGAATGTCTCTCTCCACTTACCACACTGGCCTTCAAGTCTCCTGGTCACTACAGACAACCACGCTGCCCCGCTGCACCTGGCTGATGGGTCAGAAACTCTGAGAAGCCAGGCCATTGAGAAAACAGTGGACATAGCATGGCTATGGAGCACTCCAGCTCTTCAGCCCCTACCCCTACTCTTGCTCCCTGTCTCAGGTCACTGTGTATTTTAGGATTCAGGGTTACCTCGCCTATGAGTTTTCAAGGTCAACACTCAGCTTATTACAGCAGCACACTCAGAGTCACGCTACAGGCCTTTATTTGACTAGCCCTATTATTCTGCTTACTAACCCAGTAAACCCTGTCAATCATTCTCTAGGGCTTTACTTCCATTTTCAGATGCATTTATGATCGAAATACATGGAATCTGCCTTGCCAGCATGCCAAGCGTCCGACGACATCAAATACAGTGATTCAAAAGCCCCGTCAAGAGTCCTACTATGGGAGCCAGAAAGACGGCTTGGCGGGCAAGGGCACTTGTTGCTTTTGTAGAGAACCTACATGGTGATTCACACCATCTCTAACTCCAATATATATATATATATATATATATATATATATGTATATATATATATGTACACACACACACAAAATAAATTTAACAAAACCTCTAATATTGTCTACAAAGGCAAGCTATCGCTTTCATTTCTTTGAATTTAAATCACAGACCTAAGTCAGTTACTCAATTACCCACGATTAATCTCCAGGGCACAACCACACCCACATAAGCACCTGGCTGTTCTGTCACCTCTCAGTGAAACCCTGCTCCTTTGACCCTCTTAGCCCTAGTAGTTGGACACTGAGATCCCGGCTTTACAGAGGACACTAGGACCCAGGGGAGGGATGGTCCCTTCTTGGTCTGGCCCTGTGTGCTGTACCTACTTTCCTGAGTGATGCTGAGCCAGCTCTGGACATTCCCCCACATCTAAACAAAGTCCAGCGAGTCACACATAACCCCAGGGTTTTCTGACTTCCTCTTAACATTCAACCCTAGGATGGCCTGGGGGGAAAAACAAGGGTGCTATTGCATGGCCTTTAATACCCCTGTGCTGTCCAGGAGCCTCTCTGGTTCCCCTGGGGCTTGGTCTGGTTGCACAATACACAGCCTGAATTAAGTGAGTTAAGAACATCTTATTCTTACATAACATCTGCCTTCCAGTCTTATTGCTAGACAGGAAGCAATGACTGACCCCCATACAACTTGCTTCCCAGTTTGATGGGACCCACTGCCTTGATCATGGTGAATGCTGGTCTGGATCTTTCCTTACCTGTCTGGCAGGCACCTCCAGGCCCTGCCCCAGGTCTCCGTACCCTGCACCCACCTGCTCATCCCCAGGTAACACATAGCTTGCCCCAGCTTTGCCCCAGCCATCTCTGAATTTCCCTTTCAGGGGAAAGGGTCCGTTGTATCTTAGTTCTCCAGGCAGGGACAGAGTTTTCAGACTTGAATTGGAGGTGTATCCTTCATGCTGCAGCCAGCTCTGTGCCTGGGACGCAGCTCTCCTATGTCCTGCTCTGTGTCCTCTTCCCGGGCCTGCAGCATCCTTGCTGCCTCTCCCGTTGGTGTGTCACTCCTGTTTGTCCACTGACACCTCAGTACCTTGGCCTTGTTTGCAAATGAAATTGCCTCAAATTCTCATTTCATTACCTGCAATATCAGGATTCAGAGAGAGGAACGGCAGTGGACCTGTTGCTATTCTCTGGGCTTCAGGAAATCTGTGTGCTAAGCCCCAGGGCCCCATGGGCGAGGTGGACAGGTGCTGGATGCTATACTGAGCCCTTCCATAGTGAGTCCCTTCCTGGGCATCCCACCCCTCCCCTAGGACCAGACCTCAGTTTTGATGCAGGCAACACCTGATCTGCTGTCTGGGAGTTGGGGGAAGCTATGCCAAGCCGTGTGGGTTGACTCCTTGCAGAACTTCTTCTTTACACTTTGAGTGATAACACTTCTCTGTCCAACAGACAGACACTCAGAAAGTCCATGCTGGAGTAGGGTATGAAGGGCCCTCCTCACAAGCTCGATTTTTCCTCTGTGGCAGTGGTTTGCAGTGTTTGCCCCTCCAGTGCCTGGTTCAAGGAGTCAGGATGTTTGCTGAGTGAGTCAGCGTGCTGTCAGTAGCAGGAAACAAGCGTGGCCTGCTCAGTCTGAGTCCCCTTTGAGCCAGGAGCTCTAGTCAGGGGCAGCCTGTTCCTTGGACTCTGCCTCAGAAAACAATTTCAGGATGAGTCAAAGCAAAACAAAGCTAGTGAATTTCTTGTTAAAGCAGAAGGACAAGAGGTCCTTGAAGAGCGTCAAATGTGGAAGTCAGGAGAGGGCTGGATCTAAACGCCACAGTGACCACCTGTGTGATCCAAGGCTGTGACTTACTCTGTCTGCAGCTAAGTTTAGATGTTCGGGAATGTATGCGTATCATTTTTTAAAAAATAATTTACTTAAATTATAGTGTGTGCGTGCGTGCGTGCGTGCGTGCGTGTGTGTGTGTGTGTGTGTGTGTGTGTGTGTGTGTGTGCAGGATGTGCAGGTATCTACAGAGGCCAGAAGCAAGGATCTCCTGGAGATGCAGTTCCAGGCTGTCATGAGCCACCCATTGTGTTTCAACGAACAGAACTGACATTCAGGAAGAACAGTACACATGTTCTTAACTGCTGAGCCATCTTTCAGTCCTTCTTTTTTTTTCTTAAAAGAATTTTTTTCCACATTTATTTGTTTGCATGTACATCTGCATGCACACACATACACGTGTGTGAGCACACACGCCACAGTGCGTGTGCAGAGGGGCCAGAGGACAACTTGTGGGAGTCAGTTGTCTCCATCGGTGTTCTCAGGACTGAACTCAGGTTGTCAGTCTTGGCACTAAGCATCTTTACCTGCTGAGCCATCGTGAAGGCCCCTAATTCCTTCTCCTTCTCTACAGGATTCTGTCTTAGACGAAAGTTTTCTTGAGAAGCGTGATTGGGCTTTGCCACTGGAGAAGAGGTGCTAGGAGACATAAAAACTCGACCAGAGATCCTCCTTATCTAGGACACGGGAAAGCTGGACTTGAGGACTGGTTTCTAGGCCGTTTTAACGACCTGCTCTGTAATGTTTCTGGGAAGGACAGGGTTTTGTTTTGTTTTTTTTTTCAGGTGGACTGCTCAATTATATCAGGTTTCCTGTGTGTCAGTCAGTAAATGCAGAAGATCAGAATTAAAGCAAGGGGCCTTTCCCTTCTCCTGTCTCCTATCCTGTCTTAAACATCTGCGGGGTATCTTGGCAAGGGGGCTGCTGTGGTCGGAGAAGCCAAAGAGGCAGCCTCCAGTCCAGAGAGCCCACATCACAGTCTTGCTTTTCTCCCCACACTGTGCAGCCCCTAGTGATGGGCAATGTGTGTGTTCGTATGTGCCTGTGTGTCTGTGTATTCCAGGGCTCCTGCTCTTGAACTGAACAGCACTGACACAGCTAACAGAGCTGAGGGCCCTTCCTGTGTTGGTGAAGGGATGGCAGTCTCCTTTTCTGGAAGCTGCTGACTCAGGGCCTGAGTCATCTCCCGCCTCCCTGATGCAGCCACACTTGTGGTTTGCTGGATCATGGGATGGGGGATGGCAGATACAGACTGACCACTGAGTCACCACCCTGTGCTGGGCTACAGAAGCTCTTGCCGCCCCCACCCCCGACCTGCCCTGGGGTTTGGACTACCAAGGTAATTCTCAGAGGCTGGTTGTGCCTTGTTGGTTGTGTGCCCAATGGTCTAGGCCTTCTCTCTGCCCCTGATGAGAAGCTTGACCTCAGGCAGGTACCTACGATGCTGGGAGTTGGAAACTGGGAGCTATGGTCTCTTAGGTGATGATAGCAACCCAGCTTCTAGTCTCCAAAGGCAGCTGGAGAGCCACCTGGAGATGCGTGTCAGGTCCTTCAGGTCCTGCTCAGCTGCAGCCAAGGAAAATGGCCAAGATATCAAGGCCAGGTAGAGACAGGACAAATGGCTAGGAGTCCAGCTAAGGACTTAGCTGAAGTCCAGTGATGGGGCTCATGGAAGGCACAAGCCAAGGGCTGAATCAGTGTGAAAGGGCAGATTCATTCTGAGAGCAGAAGCCAGGGAAAGGCCCTGCTTTGTGACTGGCTTGATGATGAGAAGCTCAAGTAGGACAGAGGCAAGAAGCAGGCCTGGGGAGCTGTCAAGCAGCAGATGGCTAGGCATGAGCAAGTTTGAGTCTTAGCTTAAAAGGAGGGAGAATGGCTGGCATGAGAGCCGGGTCACCAGTTCTCAACCAGTGTAAAGAAAGCACAGGCTGTCTGAGACCGAAGGAGAGTAGAGACACTGGGGGCCAGCACTGTGGTCAGCTGGCTGAGGTGAGGTAAATGTGCTATTTACTATGTTGTCTTCCCTCAGGGTCTCAGTCCTCCCTGCTCAGCCTGTGAGCCTTGGAGCACAGCAAGAACGGCTGAGGTCCCCGGGGAGTGATGTAGTTCCCCGAAGCCCTTGTCAAGCCCCGTTCTGAAAAGATAGAACCAGAGGGCACAGCAGACCCTGTTTTGTAGTCTACTCTCCCTGGTCACCAGCTATTGTTCAAGTCTAGAACAGAAGCAGGCTCTCTCTCTCTCTATCCATCTGCCCTGCTCAGTGGTACATGCTTGTAGCAGGTCCTCAGCATGAAGTAACAGACACCTGGTCTCAGGAATGGCTTGGCCTAGCAGATGTGGCCACCTCTTCATGGATAGGTGAACTGGGGTCATGGAGGCTAAGGGCTTGCTCAAAGGTGGGAACCACATCTGGTTATCACTGATCTGGGCTTTGGTGATATAGGCCCGGTGGTCAAAGTCTCAGGTCTTCCCAGAGTCAAGAACAGCAGGGCATCTTGTTATTCCTGACTCCAAACAGGGAAACTGAGGCTGAAGATGAGAGTGCTGGCAGTGCTTGGGTGTGCCTCGCAGGATACAAGCCTCAAGTGTAGCTGCTAGGGAACTAACTTCCTTGGGAGTAGGGCAGGAGAGGAGCCACAGCTCAAATCCAGGATGGCAGCAGGATCCAACTGGGCTTGTAAGTGCCTCCAGGCAGAAGGCCTCTTAGCTGGGCCTTTGGGCATGGCCTTAGCACAGGCCTGCCACAAGTGGACTTCACAGGGTTGGGATGGGTGCCTCGGGCTGGGTCCTATGGTCCTGCCACCTTCAGCCCTGGGACTAGGGGAAGGAACTTGACCACAGGCCAGTTTCTACAGCTGTTTTCCAGGACTGTCTGGGTGGGATGAGAGGCAGAAGATGAAGGGTGAGGAAGGTTCTCATGCCAGGGCTGGGGTGGAGGTCGGTCTGCCTCTCCCTGTAGCATTCCACAGAGGCCTCACCACCTACTTCTGAAAACTTCCAGTGTTTCCCAGCTTCCTCGTGCTTTCTGGAAACTCCTCCCTGAGCTCCGGTTCTTGGCCTGACTGCTCTTTTTAACTCAGCCCTCGCCTGAACCAGGTGGTTGTCTGAAGCCCCACCACACACTTGTGCTTCAAGGTCCCCCTCAGGAGGCTGGTGGCGCCTCCCCAGGGGACCGCCCAGGTGTCCTTTCCCTCCCAGGCTGAGGTCCTGGAAGGGACTTTCAGCTAGGTTTCACATAGGCAATTGATGGGGCCCAGTTCTGGGGAGCCCCTGGGGAGGAGACCCAGCTTGGGGTGGGGGTGGAGGAGAAGCTGCCTGGCTGAGTCACGCTCCTCCGGAAAATGAAGGAAGAGGAGTTTCCACCAGCTGTCTCCTCAGGAAGAGCACCAGAGGGCGGGAAGGGGGAGGAGGGAGGTTCAAGGAGGGCCAGGAAGTTTCCTAGCTATATAATAAGATGTTTTTTCCACTGCAGCTCCCCACCTAGCTCCTGTTTCCTTCACACCCCCACTACCTAAGCCAAGGGGTGGGGCTCCGGAGTCTGTGCAGGGAAACCCCAGGATTCCCATCTAAGGGACTCTGGGGACTGTCCCTGGGGGCTTTCTGGAACTGCCCCTGGGGCTTCCCCTTGCCCTGCTTCAAGGCATGTAAAATCTCCAGGAGGCTCCTGAACTCAGTACATCCAAAGTGTCACCATCCCTGGCAACACCTGCAAGCCCAGCTGTCCTCTGTCCCTAGAGGCATGCTTGTCTCAAAGCCCCTTGGACCAGTCCTCGTCCTGTGCGATGCAGACAGGTCTTTTCACAGAGTGGGGCAGGTTCTTCCTGACTGTGACCTTGAGAGTGTGACTGTGTGGTGTGCTGGCTCTCCCCCCAGCATGTCTGCAACTATGAACATAGCTGTTGTCCGTGTGAGAAACTTCCTTGCTGTCGACAGGTTAAGAATACTCTAAGCCAGGTGCATGGAGTTGGTGTAATCCTGCACACAGGAGGCTGAGGCACTGGTATTGTCTTGAGCTGGAAGTCAGCCTGGACTTAGGAGTGTAAACTGAAGCTGCCAGATAAAGTCTGATTATACAAGGCTGACTGACTGAATGGAAATTCATGATTGCAGAAAATTGGAATGCTGCTGATCCACAGAAAAATTACCTTTACTCCCTTAGTAGCTTTTCATCATCCACCTCTGTGTCTGGACTAATACCCTTGTGACCATCAGGTAAAACCTTTAGAATGTAGTAACAGCCACCAACCTGAAAGCTAAGAATGTCACCAGAGACCTCTCAAGAGAGAGGTTGCCTCACTAGTAGTTTCTGCCTACCTGATGTTTCCACCAAGGAATTACTTTGGTTTTTTGAGCCACTATGTAGCTCTGTCTGTCCTGGAACTCACTATGTAGACCAGGCTGGCCTCGGACTCACAGAGAACCAAGTGCTGGGGTTAAAGGCGAGCTCCATTACACCCAATTTAAGAAATTTGCAGCCAGGTGGAGATAGCACACTCCTTTAATCCTAGCACTTGGGAAGCAGAGGCAGGCACATTTCTATGAGTTTGAGACTAGCCTGGTCCACAGAGTTCCAGGACAGCCAGGAATACGTAATAGACACACCCTATTGTAAACCAACCAAACAACCCTGAATGGAAACATTGGTGAGTACAAAAAGTGTAATAAAGAAGTTCTAAAAGTTACTTTAACATCAACTCAAGCCAACGACTAAGAAATAACTGTAGGTAAATTGCCAAGCCTCAGTCCAGAGAGAGGAGGGCTGGACATAATGGAACTTCATACATGCTGTGTGTGTAGGAGGAAAGCATCAAATTGTAGTTCATTTGCATTTAAGTGGAGGGAACTGCTGGATTCCAGATAAATACTTACCAGGAACAAAGACACTGACTCTGTTTGCAGCAGCCAGGAGACAGCCCCTCAGCCAATGGCAGCCCTGTCCCCTTGTTGGGATGCCCACATAGGTGAAGCTGGATGCTCGGCTTCACCTAAGTTAGTGAATTTGTTAGGCATTTAAATGAAGCACCACATAGGAAATAGCAATGCGCAATCCCAAGTTTCCAGTGGAGTTCTGTAGAGAGAGATCTGGCTGCGCCGGAGCTTGTGGAATTCTGTTACATTTCTCAAAGGATGTCGTCTGCAACAATGTATAAGTGAAGCAGAGCTTAGATTTCAAGGAAAGTTTAAGTAAAATATACGAGCCCGTTGTAAAGGCTTCCTGTGTAAATGCCGTCTTCAGGTGGTTAAGACTCAGTGAGGAGCACAATGCTGAAATAGTAAAACCCAGCATTACAAGTGTCCTGGTCTGAAGCATATATTTATTTATTTATTTATTTATGGTTTTTTGAGGCAAGGTTTCTCTGTGGCTTTGGAGGCTGTCCTGTAACTAGCTCTTGTAGATGAGGCTGGTCTCGAACTCACAGAGATCTGCCTGCCTCTGCCTCCTGAGTGCTGGGACTCAAGGCATGCGCCACCACCACCCGGCTATCTTGTTCATTTTTTTTTTAAGGATTTGTCTTTATTATCACTTTAAAATTGTGTGTATATGTGTCTGTGTGTGCATGTACATATGAGTTCAGGTGCCTGCAGAAGCCAGAAGAGGTGTCAGGTTCCCTAGAGTTACAGATGGCTGTGAGGCATCTGAGCTGGGTGCTGTGAACCAAAGTCGGGTCCTCTGCAAGAATAATACACTCTTTTTTTTTTTTAAAGCTTTATTTATTATGTATACAGTGTTCTGCCTTCGTGTATGCATACACATCAGAAGAGAGTACCAGATCTCATTACAGATGGCTGTGAGCCACCATGTGCTTGCTGGGAATTGAACTCAGGCCTCTGCAGAAGCAGCCAGTACTCTTAACCTTTGAGCCATCTCT